CAAGTATTTTATTAATACCATGAAAAAATTTTAAAAAAATATAATTAATAAAGTCAATCATATTAACTACTTGAGGGATTTGTTGACAAAGAGAGTATTCAAATCACACAACAAATTGAAGTGAGAACTATCTCGCAATGTCCTTATTTGACAATCAGCAGTTAGTGGGTAGCGTTAGCGGATTATATTAGCGGATTTGACCAACGAATCATATCAACGGTGGTAAAAAGATATTTGAAAAAATTAACTGTTTAGATTAACATGTAAAATATTTTCAAAAAAAAAAAAAAAGATTAACATGTAAAATGACCTAAGGGTACACATATATTTAATAATAATAATAATAATTTTTTTAAAAAATAAAAAAATTTAATTAAGCCAATCATATTAACTACTTAGGAGATTTATTAACAAAAAGAGTATTCAAATCACACAACAAATTGAAGTAGGAAACTACCACGCAATGTCATATTTTGGCAATCAGTAGTTAGCTCTTCAATATTAGTATATATTTAATATTTTATGCCCTAATTTTTATTTGATCTCCCTTATTTTATGCCCTAGTTTCAACCATACCTATACAATTATTTTATTGACAATTATAATCAATCTTGACTATATTATCTTGCATTTGTAAACTTAGAATTATTTATTTAAATATGCAAATTCAACATTTATTTATCTATGCATGAACAATTCCAATATAATCTTGACTTGATATACTTTAAAGTACTTATTTAAAAACAAAAACATTGGGCATTATCCCAATCGCGCAATGCGCGTAAAAAACTAGTATATGTATATAAATCTCTAAAATTTATACATTACAATAATATAAATTATCTTTTAGAATAATGTAAATTATGAGGTATAAAAATATATATTGTAATGGATCGCGTGAAAATAAAAAAAAAAAAAATTATGCGAAACGATAGTTATTTTTAAACTGTGTGAACCAACTATATATCTACTATACTAATAAGAGCCCAAGAGAGTTAGGCCTATAATGGGTAGAAAAAATGGCGGTCACAGATCTTAATCAAATGAATGGCTCAGATTGATTAAAAGATTGATCAGATTTAAATTTTACACTAGAATTTCCTAAAATACCCACACACCGTTACTAATTCCGTTAAAATTTTAAGAATTGCCGTTAGTTCACCGTTAACTTACTCATTGATTTCAATAAAAAAAGTCATAGGTTTGAACATCATCCCGATCAAAGTTGGCATAATTAGTACTTTATTTTACTCTTATTAAATTATATAAATAATAATTTAGTAGTTACAACAAAAAATAATACATATGCTGATATGCATTTCTTTAATTTAGAATTATGTGTCCACAATGTCTTTATTCAAAAAAAAAAATTATTCATTATCAATAAATTAAATAAGAGAAATAATTTTATTAGTTATATTGTCTTTATTTTTCTTCAATATAAAAGTTCTTTATATTCAAATTTATTAATTGATTATATTTGCTACATTGTCCTTACAATGTCTTTATTCAGTGAAAAAAAAATTATTAATTGTCAATAAATTAATTAAAAGAAATAGTTTCATTAGTTATATTGTCTTTATTTTTCTCAAATGTAAAAATTTTTACATTCAAATTCATCAATTGATTATATTCACTACATTATCTATTATCTTTTTTGTGCACTATTTTTCTAATCAAATATCAAAGCTATAATACAAAATAATGCTATATATTTATTTACCAAGTATTTTATTAATACCATGAAAAAATTAAAATAATATATAATTAATAAAGCCAGCCATATTAATTCATTTGAGAGATTTTGTGACAAAGAGAGTATTCAAATCACACAACAAATTGAAGTGAGAACTACCTCGCAATGTCCTTGTTTAACAATCAGCAGTTAACGGTTAGCGTTAGCGGATTATTAAATTATTAACATTGGGTAGAAAAATGACCGCCAAATTATTAAATCAAATGAACGGTTCATATTGTTCAGGTTTTAATTTTTTTCTTTTAAGATTTTATAATTTATCCTTAATTATATGATTATCCATTTAACTTTTTTCGTTAATTCACCGTTAGTCTAATTCTAATATTAAAGTCTAATATAAAATTATAACTACACCATTAATCTAATTCTAATATTAAAGTCTTAATAGAACTTAACCACAAATCCTAATGTCGGAATCTCCTCAAACAATATTAGTATATATTTAATATTTTATGCCGTAATTTTTATTTGTTCTCCCTTATGTCCCGTATTTGGTTTCAACCAGGGTTGCAAAAATCCCGCCTAAGCACCTACTCGGTGCCTAGGCGCTAGGCGCCCCTAGGCCGTGGTGATTTCTCCCCTAGGCTCCCGCCTAGGAGATCGGCCGCCTAGGCACCCGCCTAGCGCCTAATTTGACCGCCTAGTGCCTAACTCGGCCGATTACGCCGAGTTAACTCGTCAATTTCTGTCGAGTTAGCCGAGTTAACCCGACCGACTCGACCGATTACACCGAGTTAACTCGTCAATTTTTGTCGAGTTAGCCGAGTTAACCCGGCCGACTCGACCTTGCTAATTTTTTTCATTTATATGACACACACACACACACACACACACACACACACACACACACACACACACACACACACACACACACACATATATATATATATATATATATATGTATGTATGTATGTATAATATGATATATATGCACCTATTTATGTATGTATGTATGTATGTATAATATTACATATATGCACCTATGTATATATGTATGTATGTATGTATGCATAATATGACATATATGCACCTACACACGTGCACTGTTTTTCATTTTTTCAGTTAGCCGCCTAGGCGACCGCCTAGGCCGTCTAGGCGCTAGGCGCTACTCTACCGCCCGACTAGCGCCTAGCGCCTATTGCAACCATGGTTTCAACCATACCTATATAATTATTTTATTGATAATTATAATCAATCTTGACTATATTATCTTGCATTTGTAAACTTAGAATTACCTATTTAACCCGCACGGGCTTAGCTCAATGGTTTAGTGGGTATTATTTGGGAGAAGAGACCAAGGTTTGAACCTCGGCGGCGGCAGTGCGGGAATTATGTCCAAAGTGGGCAGATTCCTTGTGCGTATCAGCATTTGGCCCTGTCTGCTGAACCATTGAGTCACCGTGATTTACAACTTCTCACAATACTTTGTCGGGTCGGAGTGTGGGGGGCCCTTGGGGTTGGGGACTCAACCTTTGGGAGAAGAATTACCTATTTAAATACGCAAATTCAACCTTCAATTATCTATGCATGAATAATTTCAATATAATCCTACATTAATATATTTTAAAGTACTTATTTAAAAAAAAAAAAAAAGCATTAGACATTATCCCAATCGCGCAATGCGCGTAAAAAACTAGTTGATAGTAATAAGCTACGTACTAGGCCTCGCCTCGCACTACAATTATTGTTCATTTGTTTTTCGGCTGCAAATTAAACCACATGCTTAAAATACGGTTATTTTATTCATTTATTTATTTATTTATTTATTTATTTATTTGGATAAGGGCTTCATGGTGGTCCACTTGTCCTCGTCCAAATTGGACCTCCATGGAGTCCGGCGCAAATTATGCTGTGCAACTGTGTGCATCACGGTTGCAAAAATAATGTTATTTTGACTAAAAATGCACGTTTCACTTAAAAAAGAAAATTAGGTTCGATTTCTGGTAATAGCATATTTTTTGTGCATAATTTGAATTATATATCGACAAATTTATAACTATATATCCACAGTGAATAAATAACACAAAATTCAAAATGAAAGAACTAAATATATATCCACAATGAATGAACTAAATATCCACAATCAATGAACTAAATATCCGCAATGAATGATACTCCACAATCAATGAACTAAATATCCACAAATAATGAACAACATAATGTTGTTGAGGGGAAACGAAACTGATTTTTTTAAAAAAAAAATAAAAAATTGGACGTGCGTTTTTAGTCAAAACAACGTCATTTTGTAACCGTGTGCACCATGCATGGTGCGGTGCACACAGTTGCACAACATAACTATTGGGAGTCCTGTGATAAGAGTTAGGGGGCGGTATATGTGAAAATTATTTTGTGGACCATTGTGTAGACTGTAGACTATAGAGCATAAAAACAGAAGTACATTTTTAATATATTAAAAGTAAAGTAAATATTAATTTTGATTTCACGAGTATTAGTAAAATGATAATTTTGGTTTACATGTTTAATTTCTACCAATTTACATCCATAACTATTGTTTTAGTATCAATTTTCATCCACGACTATTGTTTTAGTGCTAAAATTCATTACACCGGTCACCTTTTCGTTTAAGAAATGTCAAAATATGAAATTATTAAGCATATTTTCGTCTTTTTAAAATTAATATCTAAATCTGAGAATGAATAAAGTGATTTAAACCTTAAGATCTATCTCAATTCACAGTACTTCTCTTCAAATTAAGATAGAAATTAAACATGTGGAGTTTTTAACTTTTTGTGGTTACAATATATTGCCCTAACTTTTTTAAAAAAAAATAAATTACACAATTTTAGTCTTTAGTGCAACGCAACTGTTAAATTAAACTTTGTTAGGATTTATATTACAATATAATTTGATGTCAACTATCTTGATGTTGGTGTAGGCAGTACGTTGGGGTAAGAAAAACTCTTTTATAAACGAAGATGCTCCCGATTCATTATGGATAAATGTGAAGTGGTGTGCCATCGTAATAAGCCACGTGCCATGGATGCAGGCCTCGGTTTTGCTGTACAATTATTAAACTGTTCTTTGGCATGCCATCCACAATTCCACGTGTTGAAAATTCTAGCGCGCTCCTTCTTCGCGGGCCTATATATTATTTTTGTGTGCATATATTCACCACACCTTCACATGCAGTCATCCTCAACGTAACAGATCAATGGCTGTTCCTTCCTCCTTTCTCTTCATATTCTTCGTCTTATTATTATTATGTAGTTTCCTTTCAGTCTGCATGGTTTCTGCTTCTACTGTAGTTTCAGTAGAGGAGGAGAAACCGGGGAGCTTTATCGTTTTCATGTTGAAATCTACGAAACCCCGGACTTTCTCCACCCATTATCACTGGTATTCATCCATCATTCGTACACTTTCTCCTATCTCTAACCACTCAAAATCATCAGAGCTGTTGTACACCTATGAACGTGTTGCCTATGGTTTTTCTGCACGCCTCACGCCCTCCCAAGCGTCTCAACTACGAAACGTTCCTGGAGTGATCTCTGTCCTTCCGGATCACGTCCACCAGCTCCAAACCACCAGGGCCCCTCAATTCTCAGGCTTAACTGACTCATCTGGTCTCTGGCCACACTCTGATTACGGAGCTGATATTATAGTGGGTGTTGTGGACACTGGAATCTGGCCGGAAAGGGCTAGCTTCTCGGGTGAGGGTCTATCTCCCAGGCCTGATAGTTGGCTGAGCAAGTGCCAAGTTGGTCCAGATTTTCCGGCGACTTCGTGTAATAATAAAATCATTGGTGCCCGTGTTTTTAACCAAGGCAACAAAGCTGCTACTGGAAAGCCAATAGATGAATCATCATTATCACCCAGAGATACGGACGGCCATGGCACACACGTTGCCTCTATTGCAGCTGGATCTATTGTTGAAAACGCTAATCTTTTCGGATACGCAGAGGGTGAAGCCAGAGGCACAGCGGTAAAAGCCAAAATAGCAGTTTACAAAGTTTGCCTGGGCTCAGGCTGTTCCGATTCCGATATTCTTGCTGCAATAGATCAAGCTGTTATAGACGGTGTGGACGTGGTTTCGCTTTCGATTGGTGTCTCAGCTAGGCCGTACTATGAGGACCCCATTGCAATTGGAGCTTTTGGTGCGGTGGAGTATGGTGTGAACGTCGTCTGCGCTGCTGGAAATGATGGCCCCAATGCATACACTGCTAGGAACATCGCGCCATGGATGTTCACGGTTGGGGCTTCTACTATTGATAGGGAATTCCCGGCTGTGGTGACACTAGGGGATGGCAGGACCTTCACTGGAACTTCCTTGTACTCCGGCGTACCACCAAGCCCAAACCCAGTTTCAGTGGTCTACGGCGGTGACGCCAACAGCCTTTACTGTCGTTCCGGACAACTTGACGCTTTAAAAGTCATTGGCAAGATCGTGTTTTGTGAGCCAGGAAACGGTACTTCCGTTGTTGATAAAGGCGTTGCTGTATTGGGGGTTGGTGGCTATGGAATCATCATCCCTAACCCACAATCCACAGGCTTCGAGCTTGTGGCCAATGCTGATATGATCCCCACCGCAGTCGTTACCGTAGCCGACGGAGACATAATCCGGGAATATGTAAGGTCGTCTCAATTCCCAACTGCTAAAATTGAATTCAAGGGAACAGTAATCGGAACTTCTCCGTCTGCACCGCGTGTGGCCGCTTTCTCAAGCCGGGGGCCCAATTACTTGACGCCTGAAATTCTCAAACCAGATGTGATTGCACCAGGAGTTAACATTCTAGCCGCCTGGATTGACACAAAAGGCCCCTCCCAAACCTCCACTGATTATAGAAGAACGGAGTTCAATATTATGTCCGGCACCTCCATGGCATGTCCTCATGTTAGTGGGTTGGTTGCCATGATTCAAAAGCTCTATCCACTTTGGGACCCAGGTGCCATCAAGTCTGCACTCATGACAACAGCTGTCACTGTGGATAATTCCGGGAGGAGTCTCATAGATCTTTCCACTGGACAAACATCCATGCCCTATTACCATGGATCTGGACACGTTGATTCAACCAAGGCAGCAGATCCCGGTCTGGTCTATGATACCGGAATTAGTGATTATGTGGATTTTTTATGTACCATTGGGTATGATAGCCAGAAAATCGCGTTGTTCCTGCGGGATGGTCCTCCAGTGAATTGCAGCAACCGAAATTTGGGTAATCCTGGCTCTCTAAATATCCCTTCCTTTTCCGTTGTTTTCAATAATAATCTCAGGACAGTAAAGTACAAGAGAATGGTTAAAAATGTTGGAAGCATCAAGAACCCTGTTTATAATGTAGCTGTGACTATTCCTTCCAACGTTCTTGTGACTGTGTCACCAACCAGCCTGGTGTTTAGTGAGACAAATAATATACTATCTTATGAGGTAACTTTTACAAGCGTTACACCAATTGACTCGGTATTCGGCTCATTAGTCTGGAGTGATGGGACGCATGCCGTTCGTAGCCCAATAGCTGTGATTTGGCAAGGAGTGACTTTGCAGTCTGAAATCTAAATGTACGCATAAATTGGTCTAGTCTATTTCTATGTAGCCCATATAATAAATAATATGGTGCATATATTCCCAAAGAAGTGTATGCAATAATGGGCTTAGTTCGTTCCTATATAATCCACGTAATGAAATAAATCCACATATAAAGTATTATGGCGGACAAATATATCTTTATGACATTACAATAATTATTGCAATCTCATTAATTATATATATTGCTATAAGTAGATATATCCAACAAGAACAATGAAATGTTACCCTATTTTGTAAGTATAAGCATTCAAAAATTTCATAAAAGATGTTCTGATACTCATGTAGCAGTCGTAGGTTGTACTTTTACTTCAGGGAATTAATTCTTGTAAAAATATAAATATATCAAGTGATGGACTCACACATATATAAATTCCATTATATTAGTTTAGTTTGGATTAGACATGCCAAAGCAAAATGCAATGGGTCGATTTGGCAAACACAACATGTCTATATTTTCAAAGCCTAACTTGCCTAATGCCAGGCTAAACTTGCCCAATTTTAATAGTTTAGACTTAAGAACTTAAGGCCCCCATACAAAAAAATAATGTCATATTCACAAAAATTTATACATATATTGTAAAAGCCTATAATATTAGAACTACATTATGTCTATATATGTGAATGTGTTAGGTACAATTAATTATGAATCATTAACTTAGTGATGAGCATGATAGTCTATTATATGAGGTAACTTTTATAAACGCGAGATCAAAAGGTCTTAGCTTGGATCATTAGTCTTGCATTAGAAGACGGGGTGCACATTGTTAGTAGTCCAATAGCTGTTATTTGGGTATGTAATGGGATCACAATTTGCACTTTAAATATATACAAAAATGGGACTATTTTAGTTTTATGTATCCCCATGTATAATGAAATAAATTTACAAATATTTTATCGTTCATATGGGAATGATCGAATAGTCCTTTGGTGGATTGAAACGCGAGAAATTTGAGTAATCTAGCCTCTTTAAATTACCCTTCATTTTCTATTGTTTAAAATAATTTTTAGACTGTAAAGTACAATAGAACGATTAAAAATGTGAGGACAATATAGTATACTATCTTATTAGGTAACTTTTACAAGCGTTACACCAACTAACATGCAGTGGCATTCGAGTCTTAGTCTGGAGTGATGGTTTACACATTGTGAGTAGCGCAGCCTAATAGCTGTGCTTTGGCAAGAGATTGACTTTGCAGTCTGAAGTCTAAATTGTACCCATAAATGGGTCTGATCTAGTTTAATTCTATGTAGCCCATACAATAAATAATATGGTGGATATATCCACGGCAATTTATATCCTGTATCACGGCGCGCGTTGCATTGTGCGTCCAGATGCAAAACGACGTCGTTTCAATTTTATTTTATTTTTTTGAAATTTCGCTACCTATTGTTTGGCAGTTAATTTTTCTTAAAAAAAATCTTATGTTCAAAAATGTACATCATGTTATACTAGAATACACATATTTGTATATATGAATGTACATAATTATATAACAAAATACACATACTCTTTTTTAAAAGATAATACACATAATCTAACATAATACACATCAACTCTTAACATAATGCACAAAAATTTCCTAATTCGGATGTACATAATTGTATAAAAAAAAATGTACATAATTGTATAAAAAAAATGTACATAATTGTTATAAAAAATGTACATAATAAAAAATATACATAATTATATACACAAATATACATAATCATGTCAACTTCCTACCGCGCCTCCCAAAACGACGTCGTTTTGGGAGGCGCGGGCATACAGTGCGTCGTGGTGCAGGCTATAATGATTGATATATCCACAAATAAATGTATACATACAATAATGGGCTTAGTTCGTTTCTATGTAGTCTATGGAATGAAATAAATCCACATATAAAGTATTAAAGTATTATGATCGACAAATATATCAAGTGATGGACTCACACATATATAAATTTCATTATATATATTCTTACACATGCATGCAAAACTGATCCAATCTCCCAATCTTCTACAAGCAAGGATCTGCAATATAATATATATTCTTCAGCCATTCCATGACCACAAGCAGAAGTGCAGAACCCAGTGGGAGAGATCAGATCAGAGCTGTAAATATCAGCTTTGAGATATAGTTATGGGAAGACCTTGTCCAACGCGACCAAGAGCTGTAAACCCACTTTGCACCTTTTTCGTTTCAGGGCGATGATCTAAGGTAATTCTTAACTTCTCAAGAGGTTGAATCCCCAATTCCAAGGACTCCCATGCCCCGATTCGACAGAGCATTTAGGATGATATAGAACACAAAGACTAGATTTTTAATTACTGCGCACAAGAAGCCCCACACTTTGAGAGGTTACTCCCACGGGTGAGACTTGATCTCTGGGTGACCAACTGAATTGCCCATAGGACAAGTAATTCTTAACTTGACCATATTCTGTGATGTACGCTTTGCTGGGCCATCCATGCACACTATTGAAAATTATGGAATTTTCGATCACTTAAAAGTAATTTTAAATCAAGTCAAAAGCCTTGTTCCGACCACTTTTGGTATCCGGAAAAACCTTTATTGCTATTTTCGACCACTTTTTGATATCAACTCGATCTAAGATCACTTTCAGATGGTCGGAAATTCCATAATTTCCAGTAGTGGCGCACGTGCTGAAAATAGGGTTATCTATATGCAGTGGCGGTAATAGTTATTTTGTGGCTTCTCTCACCAAAATATTTTCTCCCTCCAAAAAAGTTTCTAGAGTACAATCATTATTGTGTGGATCATTTTGTATACGGTAAAATAATGTACATTTTATTCAGAAGATGTACATTATTTTTGTATTGAGTATACATTATATTGTATAATGTACAATAAGTACAAAAATAATGTACATTTAGTATATTAAAAATATGCTTTTTGTTATGGTCCACATAACACTGTGTGGACCATGGTCCACCAATCGTTATGCCATGGAACCGTGTTCACCATCCATGGTGAACACGGTCCCAAACAGTAACGGTGCCTACGGGCACTGTTATCTTCCACCGATCTTTTTTTTTTTAACAGCACGACTTTTCTTCTTCATATTCACATTTTGCGGTTTCACTTCCTCTTCGCGCAAGTTTCTTCAACACTCATAAATTATGAATGTACATGCATGAATTTATGAATGTACAGTTATGAAATTATGAATTTTCTTTTATGAGATTATGAATTTTCTGTTATGAGATTATGAATTTTCTGTTATGAGATTATGAATTTTCTATTATGAGATTATGAATGTACAGTAAATTCATAATTGCATATCGAGAATGTTTGCACTAGATTGCATATTGAGAATGATTACCCAAGATTGTATATTGAGTATGATTGCCTTAGTTGCATATTGATGTATGATATTTCTAGTTTGCATGATGAGAACTTGAAAGCATGAGAATAATTTCTTATTAATTGATAGCACGACATTGCTTGATAAGTTTATGCGTTAACATGAGATTGTTACTGAAATGTTATACAGGATTGAGATTTGCTATGTTAAGTATGCGATAGTATGAGCATGTGGTTAGGTTTGATACCGTTGAAGTATGCATATTTGATATTTTAGGTTGTGAGCATATAGAAAGCTTTGTGGTTTATGTTAAGGTTTTATCTAAGTGATTGAGATTGCTTAATTTGGGAATGTGAACAAATGTTTTTCCAAAGTATATACTGTAGTATTTTACAGGGTTGAGTGGAGTTATACTTAACTTCGTGCTAATGGGTATTTTCTATTTGTTTATTTGCAAAACCCCTTTCAGGTGGACCCAGCTATTGAGAGTGCTCGAGTTAGACTAGTGTAGTTAGTTGCTTTTTAGTCTAAACTCTTTTGATCTATTATTGATGTTTTTGAGATTATGGATGTAGACATCTTTCGTTTTGTTGGTGATAGACACCGGGGTATTTTCCCCAAGTTTACTTTAATGTAGTAAGTTATGTTTGGTTAGTTCCTTTTTAGCCTGTGCAGTCACCGTGTATGGTGATTATGGCGGTGACACTCCTTATTCGATGATTAATAAGTTAATGTGAATGTTTAGTTGCTTCATTCAAGTTAAGTACTTAATTATAAGGTTTTAGAAATTTGGGGTGTTACAGGGATTAGAGAAAGGAATATTGTTATTCAGTTTCAACCGAACAGAGATACAGGAGAGTATATAAAACTATACCACTAATATCTCATAACTAATAGCCTAGTCATACAAGACTTATTCTAATACAAGATATTACTAGACTTAGGATAACAAGAATAAATGTAACAAATAATAACATTACTAACACACCCCCTCAAGCACAAGGTAGGTGAGTAACCACATTGAGCTTGGTCTGTAAAGTGACAACACGCGGTCCTGGCAGCGGTTTGGTGAAGACGTCGGCAAGCTAATCCTTGGTCGACACATAATTAACAATAAATTCCCCGGTCGCAAACTTGTCACGAACAAAATGATAGTCGATCTCGACATGCTTCATTCGTGCGTGGAAAACTGGGTTGGCGCAGAGATAAGTGGCACCCAAGTTATCACACCAAATGCTGGAAGGTTGCCCGTCATACAGGCCTAGCTCGCGGAGTAAAGACACAACCCAGGTCACCTCAGCCGCAACATCGGCTAAGGCCTTGTATTCTGCTTCGGTGGATGAGCGAACCACGGTGCGCTACTTCCTGGACTGCCAGGAGATGAGATTGTCCCTGAGGAACACAGCATAGCCACTGGTGCTCTTCCTGTCTGTAGGACAACCGGCCCAGTCAGAGTCTGAGTAGGGTGTATAGTAGTAGTCGGTGAAGCCGTGATCCGCAACCCAAAAGCAAGGGTACCCTTGACATAGCGCATGAACTGACACAGTCGATTGACCAAAAAAGAGAGGTCCGGGCGTGTGATGGTGAGATACTGCAGCGCCCCTACTATTCGACGATACTGTGTGGGATTATCAAATAGTTCATCAAACTGGGTGACCGGTTTAGTGACAGCAGCTGGCGTAGTGAGAGGCTTGCAGTCGGACATCCCAGCACGTCCGAGTAAGTC